GAAGCATCTGGGCGATGGCGCTGATCCACCACAACAGCCGTACCCAGCACCCCTCTCCTCCACCAACACACACAGCCCTGCCATCGCTGCTGTCCCCAGCCCCCGGTGCGGCAGGCACCGCTCCCAAACCCTCCTCATCCTCGCACCGACGGGTACCACACGCACCCCGCGGCGTGCTTTGGCAGGCAAGGCGGCAGCAGGGGGATCGTTCGGATTCCAGCCGGCTCCATAAACCTCACTCTATTCAAGAGCCACGCGTTCAGGTCCAAAGCCACCCTGCAGATTTCCCAACAGCAGGACAGCTCACGCAAGGCTCGGTGCAAGGTGGTGCTAACCCTCGGCGGGCTCAGCCTGGGCATCGTCTCGCTGCTACTTTTAAGAGTCGGAATACACACGTGGCAAACACCACAGCAGTGTGTATTTGCATCCCTGAACCGTCACCAGGGACTTCATTTATTGAAGTCTTTAATCCCTTCTATCTGTTTCCCTGCTATTTTGTTTTGTTGTTGATTTTGGAGAGAAAGCATTTGGAAGGCACTCGAGGCTGCCTCAGCCCCCCCTGCTGGCAGTTACAGCCTTCCCCAGTATTTGGGAGAGAAAAATGAAATTTTAAAATTTTTACAAAAAGGAAACATTGCCTGCATGAAGATGGATTGAAAATACCGTGCACTGGATAATGCAGGTTGTCACCGTCCCCGAGCGGCTCACGCCAGGAGGGCCTGAGGGGTCCCTGCCACCAGGTGGCACTGAGGGACGCAGCGGAGACACCGAATTCCACGATTCTCAATAAACCGGCAGAAAAAAATGAAATCACTTATTTTAAAAGTCTACTAAGAAGGTAACTTTCTGCAGGCAAAAGCGGAGCGACCTGAAGGAGCAGTAAGGTGCGGTGTATTTTACATGTCATCTGCACACTGCAGAATTTTCTAGTGCAGTCTGGATACTACAGAGAGCCAAATGATGCTAAATCTTAGACTATTTTGGCTCTTGCTTCCCTGTCCTCATCTTGATCTCTTCCACCAGCGTCTCTTTACTACCCGTGGCATGATTTAACTCGGCATTAAGGGTCAAACCCTGTGAGGTGCTAAGCACCAACACACTCCCCCAGATTCAGCAGTACGTGACACAGCACCTCCCGGGGGTTGCGCCAAAGGCTGCCATGAAACTTTCTACGTGAAAGGCTACGTTCATATTCCATTACCTTCCTTCTCATCTAATCACTAAATTAAGAGAGGCAAAAGGGGGGGAAAAGCAAACAGAACAAAGGGGGAGAACCATACTCTGTCCTTCAAAATTAATCCCATCAACTCTTGCCAGAGACCAGAAATCCCTCACCACAACCGAGAGGGTGGTTCCTGCTCTCCCTGCCCAGAGTGTGCAGCGAGGGGACAGCAGTAACACAGCCAGGTCATGCACTGCAGCCGAGGGCAGAAAGCCATGAGCTCCCCCAGTGAGAAACACTCCCCGCAGCGGGGAACAAGCTGAGTATCACCAGTCCCTCACCCAAGGGCTGGAGCAGAAACACGGTCCTGACCGTGCTGCCAGCTGGGTGAATCTCGGCACCATCGCTGCTCTAGATCATTTGCACATAAAGTGCATTTAATGGGCAACTCTTTTGGAAGAATCTGGAGGAGATGAAGCTGCAGAGAAGTTTGGGAGCCTGCCCCAAGCAAGGGGAGGCCCAGTGCCTGCGAGGCAGCACCCAAGGGCTGGAGGGAAGGGAGGTTATCTTGGCAAGCCCAGTCGCTCTGCAGCTCCTGCTTCAACTTCCCAGCACACTCGCAGGCACCAGTCCTCTCCATCCAAGTTCCCACTGACTGATCCAAGGTTATTGGTTTGCTCTTGTTACAGCTCCCTTCAGCTGCAATCCACAGCCCATCTAACTCAGCTGTAGTTTTCTCTCAACATCCTTGTCTCAACTCATTCAAGGAGAGCACTTCAGACACGCAGCAACGGTTCATCCACACATTTCCATGAGAGCAAACAAACACGCAAAGGAGGAAGAGAAAACCAGAGCCAAGTATCTAATGTCAAGAAAACTCCCCTGTGGGACAAATCTTCCCGTCCTCACCTCTGTAATGAAGAGGATGCACTCCAGGAACATGAAGTCCTTATGGTTTTCATTTACCACCTTCTCATCCACGAAGTGTCGAGGCTCCAGATTTGGATGGTCTAAAAAAAGGAAGAGACAACAGGGAGTAACCTGTATGGCACCCCCCTTCTGAGACCCCGTTCAGTCAGGCCTTGTCCTGCCCCTCTTCCAGAACAAACACGATGCTCCCATCAGAGCTCTTCAGAAGTCAGCACAGAGCTGCTGCTTTCCATCTCATCTCCCACAGCAGTGCCTCAGCAGTGACAGCACCTGGTAAACTCCCCAGGCCAAAAAAAAAAAAGTGTTTTCTAGCACCAAAACCAAGACTCTCCTTTTAAAAAGCTTGTAGCCATTGCAATAAAGACAGATGCACTGTATAAGGAAGCCTTCCATCTCCCAACCTAAGCAACTAGCTTTATTTGGAAAGCTGAGAAGAAAGAAAAAAAAATCCAAGCTCCAAGCCAACTCTTCTGCTGTATTGCACACAAATTTGACATATTTGAATTTAAAAGCCAGTCCCAAGCCCCATCATCTTTGCAACCTAGACAGACAGGGCAAGGGGCAGGCTGGGACACGAGAAGATTTTTATTAGTACCTATCAGCTGGGAACTGCCCCATATGAAAGGCAGAAATTGGAAGTCATCCAAGCCCCACACGCCCTGGCTGCCAGCAGGTTCCATCCTGTAGGTCTTCTGAAGTTTTCGCATCACTTCTAGGTACCTGAGACCAAAGAGAGAAGGAAGGTTAAGACAAGGCCTTCTTCTGCCTTCATTGACTTACATGAGGACAAGAACAACCAGCCTGGAGAAGGACACAACTGCAAGCAGGACCCTAACATACAGCACAGTACACAGAATGTATATTCAGTTCTTTTGCCCCAGAAAGCAGGTACGTATAGTAGCAAATACCAGCACCTTCTAAAAAATTATGGTTTTTTACACCAAATTCACTAAGAAATCACGTGGCAGGGGTTTATTTTATCTGCAGTGTCTCATGGGGTACAGATCCTTCCCCATCTCCACTGTTATTTGGAAACATTGACACTCGCTCTCCTTCAACAACTTCCAAAAGAGCTCAGAAAGCTTTCCACCTTACAGCAACTGCTACTTCCACTTTTCAGGTGGAAAATTAAAGCTGGAAGGACTATTGAAGGAAATTGTTTCCATGCCACCAAGCAGTGATACAGCTGGGATTAGATCTCTGGATTCCCCTAGTTTCACCACTACCAACTCTAGCTCCTGGGCTGGAAACACATCTAGAGGAGCAGTGGAGGCCTGCCAGTTCCAAAGATATTTTTTTTTAATGCCTGAAGAGATGTTAGGTCCTCTGATTAGATACTCCTGTCCATCACAAAGCACAGAGCTTCACCCACACACCTCTGCAGAGCTCAGTAACCTCTTAACTTTCCAGAAGGACACTCAGCCTCTAACAGACAAGGTGCTGTCACCTCTTGGAGACAGTTAAAACGGGTCATTGTACAGGCCATTAAAAAGTACATCCGTCTCTTAATTTTGTCTAAATTTGTTTTCAGCTTTCCCATTCCGCCCTTTTCCCCTAGGCCAGCAAGCCCTCCAGCACTCACAATCTCTAATTCCGTACATGTCTTTGCGGAAGGCCCTTGATTTGCCCCGCTCACACCTGAGCAGAAGGCTCTTCTCACAATCTTACTCCCAAATGGGTGCGGATGAGCAGAAGAAAGGGAGCACAATCAGCCCAGGCTACAGAACAGGCAGTAACATCTCACACATCTTGGACGGCTGGAAGGGAACAGCCAGGGGCCTGCCCCCAAACAGCCCTTCTCCTTCCATCACCTCACCTGTTAAACACTTTAAAGACGATGGCCATCTGGTCATCCACTCTGAGAACACCGATTTTGCAGAGGCAGCAGAGAAAGGCTGCAAACGCAGCTTCATGCCCTAGAGTTAAAAGAGATGAAGAGATGTGACGCTGGTGTCCCTGGTTCCCAGGACAACCCTTCTGCGGGCACCGCGATGGCTCTTCAGAAATCACAGCAGTCACAGTCCCGTCTCAAGAGCCCCGATCCTACTGTCCCCGTTAATACCATGAGCTGACGATATTTCATCCCCACGCAGCACCCACCCGAAGTATACCTTCTAGACATTCATAAGGTGAGTATTAACTTTGAGAAAAAAAGAAGTTCTTGAGGAAAACCAGCTCCAACACTGGGTGTGCTGGGCCCAGTGCTTGGCACAGCAGGGGAAGCGGAGCACCCTAGACTCATCTGCTTGGGGGATGCGAGAGAACCTCACATCTGCAAGTAAACAGATTTCCTCCTGCTTCAAAAATATCTCCGTGTTGGAAGGATGCAGATCCCATGGTGTTGCTGGGAACAGTCCATCCCAGAAGGTACTGGGATCTCAGGCTGAGCCTCTGCTGGTCCTCCAGCTAACAGCAAGGAAAAAAAAACAACCAGCAAACCCAGAAATGTCTTTTAGTGGAAGGGACCACAGAACAAGGGAGAGTACAAGACCAGCAGCTCCATGTTACGAAGAAGTGCAGCTCCCAGTGTAGGAACAAGGTGCACCTATGGTCTCGCCACTGTGAGCTAGGACATGGGTCCCTGGCTTGGGGGTCTCTGGCTCTGGACACGCAGGAGGGGAGGAAAAGCTGAATTTCCTTCCCAGAGCTGACAAAACCCCAGCCAGCATGTCCCTTTCCAAAGACAACATCTCCCCCTGGTGCTGGTGAGCTGCAGCTCTCCTGCCAAACACCACAAAGCCTCCAGCTCTTCATCGGTTTACCCACATCCTCCTCTTCCTCCCCCTGCCCAGGTCCAAAGTCACGTTTCCTTGCACCCTCAGCATCCTGCTCTCCTGCCTGTTGGTGAGGACACTCTCCTCAGCACCCCTGTCCTCCAGAGAGAGGAACAGAGCACATATATGACTCTGGATGTAGGTCTAACTGAAGCCAGTGTGCAATTTCCTACCTCCTTAGGTGTATGTAATATGCTTCTACCATCAGATTTCAAGGTCCCTCTGTAAGCAGCGATGTCACTTCTGGGGGGAACCAGACATCAAGCCACCTCCCACTGAACACGATCTTGGTTCCCACTCTAGTTCCAATTCAAGCAATTACATTTTATCCCTCTAAAGTGCCCGCTGCGGATCAGCCGTGCAGAACTGCTGTACGTGGTAAAGCACACAGCTTATCCCAGAACGGCTGGCACAGCTCCAGTCCCGTTTCCTTGGATGAGACAGGAGAAGGGTGTCACAGCTCTCACACAGCCCTGCTCCCAGCCCCAGCTCCTAAGTCACAGCCCACACTGGATGTGGGGGTGAGGAGGCCCTAGAAGGACAGTGTTTGGGGTAGTGGCAATACCATGTTTAAATAAAGGCAGCACCAGGCTCCAAAGGGTCACTATTTGAGGAAGTCAAGCCTCAGCCAGCATGCACACCCAGGTACCTGTGCCGTAGTCAATACGGGTGGAGTTCCCCACAGATTCCTTCAGGTACACGGCCACTTCTGGTGCAGCATCAGCCAAATGCTTGGGGATCACTGTTGCCACCAACTTTTCTGCTTCCTGAAAGACACAAAACACTCCCTGAAGTGACTGCAGATCTGTCACAGTCCCCAGGACCAAGTCACCCTCTACTCAGACATTGTTGCAGAGGAGGAGCTGCAATGATGCACTCCTATGATTTTCAGAGCCAGCGTGACAGGAGCGAATCCCCCTGTTGAAGAAGTCATCTCCAGAGGGAGCAATTCAGAGAGAGCTTGTCGTGACACTTATCCACGCACATCCTGCAGGAAAAAAAAGCTTTCACACGTGAAAGACATGCTCACCTGGTCTAGTTTGGCGTACCAGGTCCTGAAGGCTTTGTTCCCAAAGCGAGAAGGTTGATCCACTGGTGGGGTTTCATCAATCCATCTGTCAAGGGTGTTCAGAAGAGCCACCAGTTTTTCAATGGGCTACAGAGACAAAGAAGATGAGGGGTCACGGTGACATAAAATAGAGCAGTCCCTCAGGCTCTGACATCTCTGCCCTGGATTGGAGTCGTTAAAGCCCACACCATCCTTCCTAAGGGTGGCAAGTGGAAACGGGATGTGCCAACCCTCCCCGAAACACAGAGGGGCTGGAAAAACCATGCTTCCCCTCAGAAGAGCAGTCCAGCACAAAGCCCAGCCTGAGGCAGGCTCTCCGGTCACCCACACAATCTTTCATGAGCTGTAACAGCACTATGCTCAAAAACCTCTGGGAGAAGAGCTACAGCACGTTCCTTGCTGTAGGGCAGACAGGAGCGAGAAGCAGGGAAGTGCTACACAAGTCAGGGATCTCCGACACAAAACTCAGGCTCTGCATCGAGGGTCCTGCATCCTCCACGGGACACAGCACAGCACTTACTGCGTATCCTCACCAGCGGCTGACGATGTGATTTTAGAGGCCCTTCTCGAGGCCTTTAATCTTTGTCCTAAAGTGTCTCTCAGGAGCAGCAATGGCGTTAGCATTTGTACAGCACCCAGCAAGCAGGGTCTGATCACCAGTCAGCCTTCTCAGCGTTATTCCTGTTCCTTCAAACTCATACCAGCCAGTCACAGCAGCTCCAGCACAGGGATACCCAGTGCACGTGGCAAAATACAACCTACCCAGGGGAAGGGGCAGCCTGGACTGCCCACCCGTGGTCTCATCGGAGCAAGGATGAGAAGCTCTTGTCTCTCCATGAGATGTCTCAACACAAACACAAAGCTGATGGGAAGACAAAGGCACCAGCAAGACAACAGAGCCATCTTTCTTTCTCCTAGTGCTGGAAAGAAAAAGTGAGGAACCTGCGGAGGATGTAGGAGAGTGACTGGAGGAGGCACTGCTGTGGCCATGAAGGAAGAGAGGTGCAACAGGCGGTACAGCACGACATCTCAAGCTGTACCGTTAGGACCAGGCTGGCCAACGCACGCAGCCTCCTCCCTGCCCTGCTGGTACAGCTGGGGGACAGCGACACCCCACACACCAAGAGACAACAACACAGGCAGCACTTAAGCAGCTCCAAATAGTTTTAGGAGGTGATGCTGACAACCAGTGAAGCCTGCCAGAGGCTCTGGGATTCTTCTCGCCTGACTCCAAGCAGCCCGAGAGCCGTCTGCTGCCACAGCAGCTGGCCAGGCCCCGGGCAACAGAGGCTCCTCTGTCTCGAGAGGGGATTCCTCCTTCAAAGGGACAAAGAGGACAGCAGAAGCAGCGGCTGGTTTGACTTTGCTGGAGGCATCGACCGTGTGAAGCTGGCTGGTCTCCTGGGCTGTGGTTCAATTCTTCACGCTGCCTGCCGGCAGGATGAGGAAACAGCCGAGCCCAACAAGTTTCTAGCCCTTGAAGTGCCACTCAAAGCGGGTGGGCAGATAGACGGGCATGGGAGAGCCGTGCTGCCGCTAAACCGGCTGCAGATCGTTCCCCATGCCCTCCGCTCCCAGGAGGGAGGGTCTGATGGCAGACACAGCCTCCCCCAGACAGCACATCCCAAGGTGCCATCCCGAGGACACGATGGGATCAGCGAGTGGGAAGCGGGATGAGGCAGGGGAGGGATCCACCCATCCCACTGGACCTCAATGCTTGGCCACTGAGCAGGGATAAAGGATGGGATGGAGGAAAAGACCTGAGCACACCAGAAACACAAAAGACCCAAGGGACAAAGGGGCCAGAAGCTCTGGGTGCACTGGTTAGGCTGCAAGTGGGAGCCACTAATGGCCAGTGCCCCCTATACACATGGACCGAGGCAGCACAGCCCCCTCTGCTTCAGCTCCCTGCTGCCCAAAATGCTGCAGAAACCTGGCATCTCCCCCTTGCACCGGGCCAGGTTTGGACTCAGCTCTACTCCTTCCTGGCTATTGCATTCCCCTCCAATTAAGCAACAACGTCCCCAGCACTGGGTTGCATTAAATAATTAAATCGTGCTGGTGATTTATCCGCCGGCACCAGCAGCTCATTACGAGCAGCCACCGTATTTCAAACCCCTCTCAGCAAGCACTCAGCACCACCTGGATAAATGGCTGGCAAGGACCGGCTCCTTCCCCCTCCCCAGATCTGCCCACAGGCCTTGGGGAGCCCCAGAGTCCAACCTCTCCTTCCCGACTCGCTCGCTTTAAAGGGATTAAAAAGCCCAGCCCCACTGAACACGGGAGAGCGGGACCCAGCTGCTGGCTCAGCCATGCCAATAAATAATTAAAGAGATGCGGCTCGTTTTGGGCTCAAGGCCCTTTGAAAAGGGGGTTACGAAAGGAAGCAGCTTCCCATTGTCCAGCGGAGGAAACTGGTGTGTCCAGGGCTGACCCCAGCAGGGGAGAAGGAGGGGAAGAGCTGAGCTTACGGGAACGCAACCATCAGCACGGCTGCAGCCTCGTTTTGCCTGGTTGGGTTTTTAAGCTCTATTTTTTGCTTTACCTTTCCAGTGGTCAAAGCAAGGGCAGCCTCCCCCCTGCTCTCCTTGCTCTTCTCATTGTGCTGATTTTGCATCCCCTTGACCCTGAGTCTGCCACCAGTCCCAACGGCAAACCTCAGAGCCTCCGACAGAGCAGAGACCTGTCAGCATCTCTCAAGAGCAGGGTCCAGGCAGGCGGAGGTGCTGAGGAGGCATCACGGCAGTCAGAGCTGTCTGCAGGGACCAAGCCTGTCCCTGGGGGCTCCTTGGGCTCTGTCGGAGGCGGGGAGCTGCTCAATTTGGGGCATTTGCTGCTTCCTCTGCTTCCCTCCTGGAACCAGAGCCCCTCAAGGCTGGCCAATTTCCCCTAGTGCAGCAAACTGTTTGAAAGGAAAGTCTGGTCCTTCCATGGCCAAAATTAACCTCCTCCTTGCTGCGCTGCTCCTCTGATCAAAGTCACAGCTTTGAAAAATCGCTCCAGGCTGCAGCCCCAGCAGTTGCAGCAGGATCCCCAGGTGGAAAGCCCTCCCTCCAGGAGGGGAAGGCAGGTCACAGCCTATCAGTCATCCAGCCTTGTGCCAGACAGAGCGTCTACACCAGAGTCCTGAACAACAGCTCAGCTATCGCTACTTGTCAGATGTCTCCAGCAAAACCCCAGACAGCTCTGTGCAATTTTTCAGTAAGAGCAGAGAAAGCTCAGCGAGCCTCAGAAGGGGCTCAGCCCCCCAAGGATCCAGCTCTCGCTCCAGCAGACAGTTTGCTATCGACACATACTACTCTGTAAACCATTAAGCTGTCTCTTTCAAAGCAGAGCAGACCATACTTTTTTTTTTTTTTTTCCCCCACAGCAAAGCAATACCAGCAAGTCACAGAGAGGATATGCGTTCAGCAGAAAGGATTCGAGGAGGTCATTTGCCAAAGGAAGGCGTCCCCAGCATTTGATCAGGGAGGAAGATGGGACGGCACAAAAGCACGTCAGCAGCAGGTACAGCAAGAGAGAAGAAAGCGGAGCAGAGATCCAAGCAGAGGCCACAAGGGGCTGAGCCTTTAAAAGCACAGATAAGCAGTTTGATCTACAAACGAACTCGTGCGAACAGGCAACCTCATCAACAAGGCAACCCTGGGGATGCTCCACCTGGGCCTCAAGTCACAGGCTTCTGCGCTCCTCAGCACCAAGGGAATGATGAGACACGTTCCCTGCCGCTTCCCAGGCGGTCAGGATGGTGTCGCTTCTTTGTCACCTGGATTGGGATCACGGATGGAAAACATTCACTCCAAGAGCGCGTGGACACAGGCCTGATACAGCTTTTCCTAGAGAGCTGACAGCTCAAAGGGGCTGGCAGAAGAGGGGTTTTATTTTTACCCCCCTTTGTTTTGCTCCTTTTTAAAGCTTTGTTTCCCTAGAACTGCTCTGTGAATGGCTGGGAATGAGCGAGATCAGGACAAAGACAAAACTCAAAGGTGAAATACAAACAGTGGAAAGCAAGAGCAGCATTTGACAGCATTTTCCACTGAACTGAAGGAACAAAAGGTGGACACAAAGCCTGTTAGGGAGGGACTCATTATCCCTGATCCCCCCCATGAACTACAAGCAAGTTTCTCATTCCCACCTGGACTCCTGGAAGGGAAGGCTGGCCTTAACATGCCTGCTTCAGAGGTCAATGGCTAGGTTAAAGACCATCGCACGCTGCCTTCCCACACCAGAATGAAGTTACAAACACCCAGGGCCCAGACTGCTTCCCATTCTGCCTACATCTTTTTAGATTATTCCCAGCTTTCTTGCACAGCCTTGCTAAGTTTGAAGAGCAAAAATATCCCCAAGAATCTCCTCACTGCAATGCAGAACAAGGGAGTGGGATCCAGCTCTGGAAATCACAGCAGCACCCAGAGACCTCAGGCCAGCCCCGAGCACAGCCACGGCCAGGCAGTGCCATCACTGAGGACGCCTGCCCTGCCCCTCTGGCTCCAAACGATCTCGCCGTGCCCTGATAAGGTGAACAGGCACTAAAACTGGCCACAGCAGCATACAGGACCAAGTGACAGTCACATTAATGCAAGGGGAGGGAATACTGCATCTTCAAAACATCACTGGTTGAAGCCAGACTGTGAGAACAGGGTCAAAACACGTCCTTCTGCATCCTCCTTTTCACCACCAGCTTCTGTCCACTGGTAACTTGCTTGATTTCCCATCCAGCGAGCACACACAGAGCCTCTGCATCCCTGGGGGGAGGACTGCAGGCTGACATTCGCATTCCCAAGCATAACCCAACCATATTTATTCTCCCTGGCTCCCAGATAAGCTGCCAACTCATTCCTCACCTACAAAATACTCACTGTAGAGCCAAAAAAAAAAAAAAAAAAATTAAAAAAGGCAAGAGAAAAGGCAGAAAAGGGTGAACAAAAGGATCCAAATTCATCTCCTACCTCTGAAACTTTGTACTCGCAGGTCAGCTTCTTGCCCCTGACACCTTCATTCAGAGTGAGGATGAAGCCCATGTAGTCTGCGTACGCCTGCAAATACACCCGAGAGAGCAGGGCATTAGTGAATACCCACGGTCTGTTTGAACAAGCAACGCAGCATGGGAGCACTCCTGCACACCGAGGGAACCCTTCCCAGCACACAACGCTGCTTTCTTGGAGACACGCAGGGTACAGGGCTCGCTGGGAGGTTACTGCTATTTTTGGCAGACCTCAGAGACAGATGGCGATTGCACTAAGAACTCTGCATCGCTGTAGAAGAATGACAGACAGGAGAATTTTAAAATGCTCACTCTTCCCCCAAATCACTCCCTCAGCTCCCTGCCTCCTACCAGGTCAAATTCAAACTCCTCGGCTCTGCAGGGTCTCAGCTGTGCCTAGACATCCTGCTCTGTGCCATTATCTCCCCCTTCCTCCTTTTACTCTTCTTCCATGCTCATGCCCGATGGAGAAGCAGGAGACAGCCCAGGCTCCTCACCACTCTTCTCTTTAAATTTGCAGCTTTTGAAGCACCGTATCCAGTGCAGCTCCACAGCTCTAAGTCTTTGAAAACACCAGACTAGCACCCTGCCACCTCTCCCTCCTTGGACCCCTCTTGCACAGAAATTGCGACCAGGAGCAAGTCCTTAAACCCAGGAGACTTAACAAAATTTTGAAGACACGCACAGAGGTTTGCTTGAGACCCGGCTGAACTTAAGCTTGTTGTAAGCCATCCCAGATCAGTCAAGTGAGAACCAGCTCCTAAGAGGTGGAGCAAGTCTGGGCTCACACACCAACCCCTCAAAGGCAGAGAGGGGAGAACCTGCCTGTTCCACCAGCTCCACACACACTGTAAACAAAAATTATCCAGAACACTGAAGGTCTGTGCAGCAGAGCCGGGTGGGAAGGCCCCAGGAACCAGCCTGACGCTGTTAGAGGGCAGCGGGGCCATGTCCAAGCCGAGCTCAAACAGCATTGGGTAAATCCAGTTTTGATATACCGTACAGGCTAGGTAGGATGAAGTAGTTACCAGATTCTTGTCTAGCTTGTTGGGAGGGAGCAGTAATAACTTTTAAGCATCTCTGGTTTCCCTCTACCTCTGGGCTCTCCCTGGCTCCCTCCTCTGTCAGAGCATTTGGCTGCCAGACTCTGCACCTCACTGCCAGCTCATTTTCCTACAAACAGGCAGTGACTCTTCTGCTTTAAAACACAAATCATTCATTTCCCATTACTTGCCCAAACCTGCTTTACCTCGTGGCTGTTTCCCAGACCAGACCTGGCTGTCACTGAAGCATAATAAGCACTTACCAGCCTTCCCTGACCCCAGAGCCGTACCTGAGAGCGCTTCCACTTGGCCATGTCAGAAACCATGTTTATCTCCTTTCTGGGGATCATGAAGCTCTGCTGGAGGGGAGGAGCCACCTCCTCAGGGTCACCTGGGAGATGCAAAAAAAGAGGTAAAACAGAGGCAGTGGAGAAGAAGAAATCCTCTGTCTTCCTTTCTTACAAATCAACATCCATTTCTCAGGAGACAGAAAGCAAACAAATCCATCCCAGCTTGCGCCACTATCTCACCAAAGAATATCCTTTCGATCCCCGAATAACATACTCCCAAGGACACTGCCAGGCTCCAGAAAGTGGCGTTATGTTTGTTTTCACCACTAAAGAAGCATTTCCCATCTGGACAGAGAGCCTGGTGCAGGAGATAACAAAGACAACATCCAGCCGGTTTAATTACTTCTGTCTAACGAAGACAAGCCTCAGGTCATGCTGAAGCACTGAGCTCTCCTAACAAATTGACTGTGCCTTGGTTTTAGGGTGTTAAGCTTAAAATGTTTTCCTCTAAAAAGGCCAACTCCTGCCCAGACGGAGCCGGAGCAGTTCAGCAGATGGCAGTCCAGAGCCGCAGCCCTGCTCCAGGCAGCGCAGGAGCTTGGAGGATGCCGGGACACAGCCTCTGCCAGGTGGAAGCTGTGAACATCTTTTAATTTTAAAGCTCTCTCAGAGCCTGGGATATAATATTTAATGCAAATGCAAGTTGTTAACGCATTAGAGGAGATCTTTTCCCCAGCATCCAAACCAAGGACTGAACCCTGCCATGAGGGTCACCCCTGCCCCACGCTCTCCAGAGCTCTGCTCCCAGCCAGCAGCCCCGCAAGGGGACACAGCGGAGCCAGAAATGCTCCAGGAGGTTAGCAGTAACTTGTGTTACGCTCCTCTAAGTGCAACTTTTCACAGCAAGAGGCAGTGCAGCAGACCACTGTTAAGGAAACCGAGTGCTAATGTGAATTTATGAATTCTGCAAGAGTCACCCAGTTCATCTTTTTACTCGCAGAATATCTGAAGAAATTTGTTCAGCACCAACCACCCTGGCAACCCTTCAGCAACTGCTCTCCACGCTGCGGCAAGCTCAGGCACTGGCTCCCTAACGCACACCACCAAACTCCAACTCCTTCAAGTATTATTAGCTACATTTACATAGAAAATACTACCCAGACGCGTTGGCAGCCTTCTCTGCAGCAGAGCAGCACTGTCTAGCAGGCAGATCAGGGAAAAAGGAATCCAAAGTCCCAGGAACCACGCAGAGTCTGCTACAGACTTGTCACCTAACCTTAGAAAGTCATTTAACTCCTCTGCCATTCAAGTTCCCCATCTCCAGAACAAACGCAGTCTCATCACCTGCCGAGGGTGTTACGGCGTTTGATTCACTCCTGTGCCTGAGTTACGGGAAAACTCCCAGGTACGAGGATGAAAGGAACAACACAGGAGGAATTTAAATGAGAGACGTGTGCCTCTCTTCTGAGAATCCCGCACACAGCTCACACTGACACAGCACCATAACGAGCGAACTCTTATTTTAAAATGACTTAGAACATGAAAACAATGAAAAACTCCAGAGCAGGGGTGCAAAAAGGCAAAACCTGACTTGTCCACGAACACAGACGATACATAAATCCCAGGGGTGCGCCCAGGGAAGTGTCCTGGACCGAAAGGATCCAGGGGTCAGCCTGGCCTCTGTCTCATCGCAGAACCTGTTTCATCTCTTTGCATTTGTTTCTCAGCCATTGCTGCTTCTGACACACACCCTGTGCATCTCCTCCTGGGGAGGAAGCAGTGAGGGGTGCAGGGGTCCCCAGGCTGTGAAATGACCACACGAGAAAATCCAAACCCAGCGATGGGATGGAGACCGGAGCAGAACAGGCCGGCTTTCTGATGAGAAGGAACTTGGTCACAGGAGACGCTTCCAGTCTTACTTTTGTGGTGTAGGGAGGAGGGATCCAACCCAGCACGAGTTGGACTTTCCACCCCCCAACACCCCCGTGCCAGCAGCGGGAAACAGCCCCAACACCGGGCCACAGACCTTGGGGAGCCCCACACCCTCCTGAACCCCACCA